CTTCTTCAGATGCAAGATGACTTGCATCTGAAGAAGTGAGGTTCTGACCCACGAAAGCTTATGCTCCCAGTACTTCTGTTAGTCTCAAAGGTGCCACAGGACCCTCTGTTGCTTTTTACAGATTCAGACTAACACGGCTACCCCTCTGATACTTTGCCATGCTTGAGTATGTAGGGGTTGATACAACAAAAGTACCCCAAAGCCAGGGCCTGCAGACAGTCCTGTTCCTCCAGCTCATGTGGTGGAAAAGCATCTGCAGCCTGAGCTACTTGCACATAAAATAGATTATCTGACTCCCAAGGTTAGCACCCATCACTACTCTCCATGGCCCACTACTGGTGTCATAGTCCTCATGTGGCCTCCCACATGGCGACTTTCCCCAAAGAGCCCAGATGGTGCTCAGGGTCCTCTGCAATAGACACCGTAGCCCCATACAGGGCTATCACCTCACAAGAATCAGCAATGGCTAGACTTTCTCGGCTCTTAGAAAGGCAGAGAGAAATCTTGCCATCACAGTCAATGGGAGAGTTGCTAGCACCCACAATCAGTGGAAGGCTGAGCCATAAACGATGGTGCATTTTTAATAGTTCCTATAGGACTCTGATATTTAAACTCTGCTTGAGCTTGAAAGAAAAACAATTCAATCTGGTTCAGATCTGAAGGCATAACTAACTAAAGACTGGGATGAACATTGAACAATAAAGCACATCTAAAACCTTCGACCAACTTACCTCCCCCTTTTCACTACCACCACACTTGTGATGACTACACAGGTGGTATGGAGTGGCCTGAGATGGAAAATGGCTTGTAGGAGGGCAAAAGGCATTCTCTGTGAGGGGACCTTAGGTTTGAAAGTCAGTCCAAACCAGTCCCAATCTGTTGACCTTCAGGACATGGTTTTTCACTAGCTGTGAGAGGACTCCGTGGGAAATTATAAAGATTGTAAGGCAGGAGACATGTTGGGTGCTGGTCCCAGATGACAGAATTAACTCCCCCAGGAACTAAGGACCATTGGAAACCACCCCACTTTCAACTTCAAGTGCAAGCAGCACTTCTCCCACCTGCCTTCTCCAACTTAAACACAGAGGAGCACAAACATTTTTAAAAAATCTGAAACCCAACACAATGATCATAAAAAACACTCCCTGTACATACAATTCTCCTCCTAGGGACTGGAGGAGAGATAGAATCAACTTCACATGAGAGATGTTCATCACCACACTTAATTGGAAGGTTCTCAGATACTAGGGCAATGTGGAAACTTATAGAGAGCAGAAGATTCTGAATGTGGTTTCGGCTGCTGAGTTATTCCATGTGTTAATTACTGGGGGAAAGGGTGTTACTGGAGTAGTCTGTCTTTTTAAAATGCACCCAAGAGTGCTTAGAGCAAAGGTTAGGGATTTTTTTTTAAACGAGTAGAATAAATAAAATAAATCTGCCTGTAGTACAGTGCAAATGGCCTCTCTCCCACCCTCTCTATGCCCCAAATGGTGATACCAGAACGCTACTTGATACCTCAGGTGAAGCAAAGAAAAGGAAAACATCTACTAATCCCAATAACTCCTGCCTTCGAATACTCAGCTGAATTCTCCACTGAGGAAGCTCGCCTTGTTGCCTATAACTTACCTCTTCTCGATGTTCTTCTCCAGAGCGTTGAATATACCACCTAATAGAGGCTTGCTGGGACTTAGGAATGCATTCCAGAAAAGTTGAATTAAATTCAATGCCAAAAATCACCTTTTCATCAGCAGTTTCATGACTAATGCCTGGAAAGCAAACATGGTACTGAAGATTAACCCTGACCTGATTTTTAAAGCAATAGGAAAATAGACTGATTCAGAACAGATGCTATAGGAGCAAGTGAATTATAAAATAAGCAAAAGGAAACTTAACTTTTAGCTTAAAATATAACTGCTAGGATTTAAAGGCGGCTTCTAACTTTCCTCCAGTGCAACTGTTTTTTAGAGAGGTTAATAAAATCTGTACCGCTGACTTACTTAAATTTAAAGAGAGACAGTCACTGCTGGTGAATTAGATATTTTACCTATATTTTTCCTCTGCTCCATCCTCTGTGCACCCAGTGAAAACTCAGCAGAGTAGAGGTGGGGTAGCCATAAATGCTGGTTGTAGTTCCACCAATTCGGAGAGCCACCAGGGACCGCTTTAGCACCCTGCATACTTTAGAGCAGCCTCAAGGCTACCTGAAATCACTCCCTTTTAGTGGCCATTTACTAGGCAGTTACTGCTGGAGCTCAGTGTGTTCCAGATAGGGCACTGAACTAGAAGTAAGGAGACTTGGCTTCTTCTCTTGACTCTGCCAATGACCTGGGAAAAGTCACTCCACCTCTCTGTGCCTTTGTTTCCCCTCCCAGCCTTTGTCTGTCTTGTTTATTTGGATTGCAAGATCTTCAGAGCAGGGATTGCCTTTTGTACTCTGTTGGTGCAGTGTCTAGCACAATAGGACCCCGTTGCAACTGGAGCTTGTAGGTGCTATCATCATATAATTATTATCTATTATTAATAGTTATTATTATTATTAATCTGCCAGGGGCTGGAAGTGGGGTGATACAAGGCCATCTGAACCTGTTTTACAGCACCAGGGGAAATACCCACCTAGCTGCTAAAGCTAGCCATACATTCCATTTTTGCCACCATATTGGGGCTCAGGATTGAGTTCATATTAGTGCAACATTTTAGTAATTTTGTATTTGTTCATCAAAGACAATACCATTTCTCTACAAAGACATACCTGAAAGCAGCCGTGGGGCTGGCATCCCTACAGTGAGCCTAAGCTCTGTGGCATATCTCAGATACCACTATGTAGTAATTGTGGGGTGAATCGTGAGAGTGCAATCCCAGCCCCATTGAAATCAATGGGAGTTTGGCCATTAACTTCAATGGAACCGGGATTTCCCCCTGACTTTTTAATGATCCCTGCGGTATATATGCACAGTGAGAGCCCAGTATACCATGCAACAGATTGGTCTTTGATTTCATGGCAGACAGCCCTAATTTTTGCTGTGAAATACGCTGAGTTTTGCAGCAGGCTTCCAGCACCACGGTGACATGAAAATAATCGGAGATGGATCAAAGGGAGCAGCTTCTACTAGCTCAAAAATTAAACTCAGCAATACTATCAATACTGTTGTGACTGGGCTGTTCATTTGAATAATTGAATGTAAAAACCCCAGACTAACTCAAACTTCAGTTTTGAAAGCTTTTCATTTATTTTACGCTGCCACAGAAATTGCAGCGTAACCGCAGGATTTAGCATTGACAGTACACTTTGTAAGTGAACTGCAGCAGTTGCCAAGGGAGAGAGCCAGACTGTTTGGCAGCTGGGAGAGGGGGATTTCTTGTTGAGGAAAGGGGAAGGCTCTTGTTAATAGGGGGAGTGTTTAAGTAGCTGCAGGGAGGGGGAACTGGAGGGTTTGGCAGCTGGAACAGGGGTTGGGACTTTTGTCAAGTGTATGTATGTATTAGGGGAGGAAAAAGGAGCATTTCCTGCTTCCTCAGAGGTTTTCTTACTTGAATCTCTCTCCAGATACTCTGCAAAGGAGCGGAGGTCCTGGCATCTCACTCATGGTGGGGAATGGGGTATTCACATCAATTGTCTTATTTCTCCCCTCACGTGGGTTTCTGCTGGTGTCTCTCTCGCATGGAGTGGGGGGTGGGTGGAGGGGAGAGCTGTTTTTGCCATTTACTTCTTTTAAGTTCCCATGGCTCAGTGAGTCTAACTGTTGGATGAGGCCTGAATGGAGAGTATTTGGGGATTCTAACTGCCTCGGCATTAGCTGCCCAGATATCTCCAGAGGCCTAGTTCCAAAGAGCATAGTAAACAGACAGACACACTGACCGTACACATTTTGTTGGAGGAAGAGGCGCAAATACTTACTTTCTTCCACATCCCAGCACTGGGCGACTGGGTCTCCGTATTTGACATCTTGCCTCCTGGCTCGCCTACAATAAGAGCATTAAAATGTATAACACTTAAGGCATAATTGCTGGAATTCAGTAACAAAATGCAGAGGAGCTCGGCAGATGTGGGACCGCAGCACTTCTGCCCTATCGTTGGCAATTACAGCCCTAAGTAAATCCAGCCTCCCTCTCAAGTGGCATGTGGCACAGAGAGATTTGTACAAATGGCACAAAGAGACAGGCCGGTGATTTAAGAAAATCACTCTGGGCAGAGAGATCTGCCTAGAAGAGGGTGAGGAGGGCAATCAAGTGGCAGAGACAGCTTCCAAATCAGCTCTAGGAGCTCTGCCAGATCCAAAGGCAGAACAGATGTTGTGATCTGGTGGGCCAGATCATCTTGGAAACCATCAGAACTCTCAACACCCTACGTCATGTAAACCTACGAGCTTCAACAGACCACATTCCTGACTCAATTCAAGGCCAACACAGTGTAATGTCAACTACTGAATTTTCTAAAACAAGCAATGCTGGAAAAGCGTAGGTGCTGCTTCAGATGGAACAGTTTTGAGAACAGCAGCTACAGTGTACGGTTTGGGGAACTTTATGTAGAGATGAACAGAGCAGGAGATTGGGAGTCAAGATTCCTGGATTCTTTTTCCAGTTCCGCTATTTAACTTGCGTATTGATCTTTGGGCGAATTACTTAATCTCTCCGTGACCGTTTTTAGGTTTCATTAAAATAATATTGATAATACTTAGCTCTTACAAACTTTCATCCATAGATCTCAAGAGGATAAATCTGATTATTTTCATTCTTCAGATGGGGAAACTGAGGCACAGAGCGGCAAAGTGACTTCCTCGAGGAGACACGGCGAGCCAGTGTCAGAGATGGCAATAGGCCCTTACAAGTGCAAAGCACAGCAATGTTTAAGTGGAAGAGCTGGCTCCTGATGCTGATGTGGCCATTTGGAGAAGAGACTTAAATACGCTGGGAGCACAGTGTGCCAGATAGCTAGACCGAGCTAAAGGAAAATACGCAAGTAACTGACCTATGGAAGATGCACAATGCAAAACATCAATCCCTTCTTCTGGAGCCTCGCACCCACAAAGCTTTGACCTATCCACCAAGCCAAGGAGCTCTATAGATAAATGAGCCCTCGTTCTCTGTCTCCACATGCAATGGAAAGAAAGCACTGCAGCCTTCAGCAATCCCATGGGGCATAACTTCTTCATTGAATCTTGGCTTTTATATTTCTCTTCTCATTTACATTTCTCTGTATTTATTCAAGTTCACTTTGGCTTAGGGGAAAATGCACATGGTTGCACAATGAATGACACAATAACCCGTAACTCATTAACTACAATAACTCATTTCATCATTTAGGCCCAGTACTGCAGTCCTTAAGGAAGCAAACTCATCACAGACAGCAACCATTGGCCTTTATTGTAAGCAGAGCTGGGCAACATTTTTCAGGTGAATTGTTTATATGCTAAAAATGCAGTTTCAGCAAAAAAAAAAATCTTTGTGTGTGGGGGGGAAGGGGAGGGGGACTTTTTGTAATTTTCTGATTCAAACCAAATTTTGTTTCAATTTTTCGGAACTGCCAGCAAACCAAAAAAATCAGTTATTCGCTCCAATTGTAAGGACTGCCCACAGGACAGTTTCATTGAAGGGGTGGAAGA